CATGTTAATTTTCATTAAAATCCTTGAAATTTGTTTTTACCATTTAATTACAAAGAAACCGCTCTGATGATTTTTATTATAAATCACTCAACATGATCCTTAACTAATATCTTTCAAACGGCTAATAAATTTTCAAAATTGGATCAAAAATTTTGGCTAAAACCTCGACGAATTTTGCAATTTTCTGCTAAATACAAAGAAATGGCTCAGCTGATCATCTTGCAAACTTAATCAATGTTATCGAATTTCTTCATCGAAGGGTTCCTAAATTTTTGAAATTTTGAAATTGGTGCAGCGTTTGTGAGAAAATATTGATGAAAGGTCAAATTCGCTCACATACACACACCTACTTTTTCCAATATTGGTCTCAAACGGTTCAGAATAACTTGAATTGTTAAGAAAACACACAATTAACAAGATGATTTTTTTAACAGAAATATAAAAATCTTCTTCGTAAAGTTAAAAATATATAAAAACCTTGATATTTCAACACCCTATAAATCTCATCAAACCTAATCTTCTAGTGCTTGATATTCTAATGTAAAAACAATTAGATTAAAATTTATCACCATTTGATTAAAATGAATTTAAAAATTAATCCTCATCCCCATTGAAGTTTAATCAAAGTTAACCAGAAGCATAGCCATTTCCTCAACATAAATCCATTACCCTGCACCTTGATAGAACTTTTCTTTTCAACTTACAAAGCAAGCCATAAAACGTCTATTCCAATAAAATAGCCGGCAATGAAATATCAGGATATATTAGAAAATAGTGGCCTTGTCTCTAATAATCTCGTTCGCGGCTGATCGTAAAGTGGACCATAAAATCAGTTTATGACCGAAACCGCGATCATCGTTTTGTATGAACAACTGAAAGGAGATTTTATGGCCTCTTGTCGCAGACGACGTCCACCCATTTAATTATAGGTGGACGATAGTAAAGATACACCTAAGCAGAAGTTTCTGAATCGGATATCAGTGACGATAAAAAAAATTAACGTCCCATTGTGGATAGTGCTTTTTACTTGTTTCCTCATGAAAGGATCCACAAAGTTTGGAAACAATTTCCTATGTTGGTCAACTGTCCATATAGGTATTGTGGACTTTGTATGTTTGTTAAAACTCATACCAGTTGTAACAAACATACAAAGTCCACAATACTAATAAAATGATAACAGTAATAATAATAATATTGATAAAAATATGAAAAATTAACTTTAGATATCAAAAGTAATTGCAAATGGATTAACTAAATGAAAACAAAACTAGTATAAGTATAATTCTGCCTTTAGGCAAGTTGTATGAACCACTTGATATGTGCAAATAATAATAGTTTATAATAATGTGACATAATCACTCTTTTGATTAGATAAGCCAACTCTTGATGTGTGTCCCATTATATCAAATTTTAATGAATTTATATAAGTTAATCATTTAATGTAGGCCTATGATATTTTAAGATATTTGCTATTCAAAGATTCATAAAAATCACATTTTTTATTAATTATTCACGATGAAACGGCCCGGAAGATCTTTATCAAAACCTTATCAACAGCCTCCAAAGCAAAATACTTCGAAGAGTTTTTGAATTTTTCAAAACTGGATCAGGATTTCTGATAAAAACTGTAAGGAATATTTTTATGTTTATTTGGTGTATATAAAGAAACAAACCGCTCAAAAATTCATTAAAATTAGTCCTTGTCGAGGTTTATTGAATGACATTTAAATTTTTTAAATCCACGAACCTGTCTTTGAAAAAAAACCGTAAAGTTTTATCTTGCATGTACACACATGTTTTTTCCAATTTTGATATCAAACGATTCAGAATGACTTGAAACGTCAAAATATCAGAAATTTATTTTGTGATTTTTTTGGCAAAAATAAACTTCTACTTTGGAAAATTGGTAAAATTAGCGTAAAAAAGGCAACAAAACTTTGAGGTTATAAAAAGTTATATCATCTAAACCTCACTGTGTTGAGACTCTATCTGGCTTAACTTTTTTAATAACCCCTTTTTATGAAACATTTAGACTAACAAAATTTAAATAAAAAATGTTTGTTTAGATAAATTAAATTTAGCACACTTCAATGCAATTGTTACTATGTATTTATTCACAGTAAATATAATCCTCGGTGCATAATAAATTCCGAACATCTAAACAAAATTGATATTATATCATTTGGTTGCATTGTATGTATTCAACATCAAAAACCAGAACCCAGAACACCATAAAGCTAAAATTATCTAAACTAGCAATAAATTTAATAGATCAATAATGCTGGTTTGGCCATGATGAATAATAAGTTACAAAATAGTTTATTATGTAAATGGAAATTATTTATGCTTTGAAATCGTTATTTATAAGCTCATAAGTTGAAATTCATTGTGGGTCATAAATGTTTATTAGTACAGATGAATAATTGAAATTAAATTAGGAAACCTTGGCAAAAATTTATGAATAATGAATTATAGCTATTATATTTGAGGTAGAAATAGTACAATTTTTATTAAAGGGCTCATAAAATTTGGAAACTTGGAAATTATATAATAAAATAAGCAAAAAAATCGCCTTATTTTGTTGGATAATATATATATATATATATATATATATATACTCGTATATATACATATATATGTATATATATACACATATATATACATATATATATATGTATATATATAATATAGTATATATAATATATACTATATCTCAGCTATAAGTATATACTGAAACGCAAAAAAATGATGTATCATTTTTCATGGAATTACGCTAGTGATAGAGGACCCACCATTTGGTACCAGAGATATGAAAAGATTAATGATTTATTTTCCACATTTCTATAGCCATAATAACTGCAAATTGTGACAAAATATATATGTTAGGTAATTTTCAAATATCACCGTTGAAATATATTAGAACGAAATCGAAATTTCTTTTACTTATATTTTTTAAACAAAACCATCATCATAACAATCATCTCGGTAACAGGAATTGACATCAAATATAAAAGAATGAACTAAAATAAAAATAATTCTTGCATATTTATGATCTCACCTAATCATAAAAGGACTTTTAAAAATTTCACTAATTATTTTTGAAAAAATCGACATGCTGTCGAATTTATGTAATATAAAAATTTTAATTAGTAAGATAAATTATTTCGAATTAATAACAAATTACTAACCGTGTATGAGAGATCTCATTAACAACCTTATACAAGAAATCTATTTAGGTTTTAATTTTTAATGTATTATATAAAATAGCTTATAAAACTATTTTTAAACTTTAATCTTCTAAAGTGATGCATATTTTGCCCTATTGAAAATGTACTTCATATTAATTAGATTGTATTAGAGTTTAAATTACGCGGTTTGCTATTTTTCATGGTATAAAATATAATTAATCATTTAAGTTTAATGACGTAGTATTCACATTTTTTGGAAGTCAAGACAAAGTATGAAATTAAACTTTTGTTTATATATAATGGGTATTATTGCCCTTGGACAGGTCCGTGAGATGAGTTAAACTCCAACTCGATTCAGGCAATAAAAGTGTGAGAGATTTCCTATTGTCATTTCACACCGCAGTGACCGAAATGAGCTTAATTTTATATATATATATATATATATATATATATATATATATATATATATATATATAACGTTTCTAGATATAACAATTTTAATTATCCTATCACATTCTTATTTCAGAAATAAAATGAGAATTCTTTTCAAGTGTGATATGTGAATGTATATGTTGGAAATACCATTCAGAAAACAAACGCGAAACAATAGCGCATCATATAAATTATAAAATCACGCCATGCAATATAATAAAAATAGCAAAAAATATATTTCTCACTCTGCTGTAGAAAATCAAACTCAGCAATAACATGTATACAGATCATGCTCAAACTGCAATACTGAAAGTAAAAACGCTGCAACTATTAGAAATTGATAATAAATACATAAATATAGATAAAATAGTTAAAATTCATACTCTGTAATGGTACCTGATTTTTGGATTTGTTTATAGATGCTTATTATGCTGTGATTTACTTAATCATTATTACTATTATTCTAAAAAATTCAGAAAATCTATAAAATTTTAAGTGGGATTTGTTTTTCAATAATAGAAGCAGTATTAAATCCGGTTTTGCTGTTGCACTTTATAATTCTGATATTGAATACTTTTATCGACACATCGCTCATTAGAGTTCAAATATATAATTGAGCAAGTTTAAGTTTAAATTCACCAAGTTAGTTTTCTACTATTTCAATGGAACGTACAAATGCACTACTATTAACAAGTAAGCAATTATATAATTTGATAATAATAGGGGAGAGTGGGGCTCAAAGATCCGCTCGTAAAAAGGTCCGCCACCAATATCTGAAAAATCAGTTAAAATAAGAATTTTTTAACATCAATATCTGTAAGTAGAGGGAAAAGATGTAAAACTTTGATCCTTGCTATCGAGAGATAAACGACAATGTTGGAAATTCTATAACAAAAGTATTTTCTTTCGTTGCGAGCACTGTTGTTTAGTTTACGAGACCTTAATATAATTTTTAAGTATACGTTATTTAATTGTTTTATGATCATATTGCTCAAAGTCAAATAGGACCCTTCTGCCCCGCCCTGCTCTACATCAAATTATTTATTTTCATATAATAAAATGAAACAAAACCGAATCCATCCAATCGAATCCAAAGTATAGTACTAGTAATATGAAAAAATCAGATACCATTATATTAAATGAGTAAAAAATACATACAAAAATGATTCATATTATCGAATAAAAAACTATACAAATATATAGATAAAATTGGAATTCACGACAAAAATGAATGTATAATTTAAAATATGAATTTTCTGTGATATTATTAAGTCTATTACAAAATCATTTTAGTATATACATAAAATCATGCCAATTAATTAAATATATTAATTAATTTACTAAATATTTCATGCCATCATGCGCTTAGTGTAAACCTACCTTTTTGATAGTGATTGTGCGAACATTCTTAAAACTGGAATAGTCCTCCTGCCAAAATCAAACATTCAGAATACTTATGTACAAAATAATAATCAGGTGTAAAATCACATTAAGCAAAATGCGTGTGTATATATAAAGATAATAATTTTAATAATATAATCAGCTTGTAAATAGATATATGGGCAAAAAGGTAAAAAATGCCGAAAGAAAAAAATTGTTAATGTTAATTAATATTAATTGTTAAAATTAGTAAGTTAATATATTTTCCCATAAACCGATATATTTTTACAATAAAAGTAGTTAACTAACAAAAATTCTTCGATTTATTTGCTATTTAATATTTTGGAATTATCTTACATTAATTAAATAAAAAACTCGAGTAATTTAGAAAAACACATAATATCAGAATTATGTATTTTTTAATTAATTAATATAACCACAAAAAAAGAATATTATAGTACAATGCCCTTACTAATTAAATATTCTCCTATATTATTGTAACCCAAAACCAAGATAAAAATATACACATAAAATAAAATTAAATTAAAATAATAATAATACAGATATATTTAATAAATCAGAAGTAGTAAGATATGGGTCCAAATCTGAAATATTCGTATTTTTGTGGATATTATCTACAAAGTAATCTGTTAGTTTTGAAAACCAATTTGTAATTTTATACGGCCTGTAATTTTCTTTTAAAAACATATTATATTATTGCATTCAGTTAATATTTTCTAGTTTCAAATATGTATTAAATTAAAATTTCTTTAAATTGACTCTCTTCCGACATCTATAATTAGTATTTTTTATCGTTTTAGATAGATTATTTTAGTTTTTATTATTGCTTAGATAGATTATTTAGTTTTTATTATTGTTAACAAATTAATTTAAAGTAACTATTAATTTAATCTAACAAACTACTAATTTAATAGAAATTTAAATTAATTTTCCATACTTCGGAGTAACATTTTACTAATATAATATAGTTTGTAGTTGCTTTCAATTTATAAAAGAGGAGTTGGTAACCAGAGTAGACCAACCCACAAATCGGGACAAAAAACTGAGATACAGCGAGGATATGATTATTTTTTCATTGGAAAATGTTTCAAAACTGGGATAAATCTAATATTTATATCTATCGTTAAATGACAGCAAAAAATCTGCTCTGGATCTAAAGTTCTTTCACGTTTGTCGAAAAACCAAAGAACTATGGAGTGTATAAATTTTGTTCATATAATGAAAAAATCTAATAAAATTATGTAAAAAACATGTGAATATATAAATTGTAAATAGAACCTAAATTCATAGAATATAATTTAATAATATTAATGAAAAAAATAAATTTTCTGGCTTATAGCGTTCAGGTATATTTAGTATGATCCACGGTGGTTACCAACTCCTCAATAGTTGTAATAAAGTTCTCATCATTGTCATGTTTTATTTCTAATATGTGTTCGATTTATGTCTATAAAGAAAAACGTTAACGTGTTCGCAAATATTCCATATCCGACTATTAAAATTATTGAAAAAAATCTAAAACTAAATAAAATTGTTAGTAAAATATCTTGGTTTCAAATTATCATTTACCCCACCTACTGCCGTTACATAAATTATACAGAAAATATAATATATACATAGCCAAAGCAAAGCCATAATAAAGAAGTGTTCTCATTTTCCGTATATACATAAATTCGCAACCCAAATCCACTCTTTTCATATTTTATATACAAAATCTATTTTTCGTTTGGCCCGTTGAGAAATCGCATGACATGTGCTTACCTCGTAGCTGAGCGTCACGGGAAACTGCGTTATGGGCTTAACGGCAACATCTTGCAAAGCGGATTTCCGCCTGAAAATTAACAGACGAACCATAATTAATGTTAATAATTAATTAAATTGACGCATATTATAATTTCGGACGTCAAACTTGCTCAGTGAACTACTGATCAATACAGAATTTAGTAGGTACTTAGAGAATCCAATAGTTAAAGACTTGACAGAGAGGACTTTGATCAACTAAATTCTGTATTGATCAATTTCTACTCATTAGAAATTTTAGTTAGCAGAATATTTGTTATTATATATTGCAAAACTTTGATATAATGTCAACTTTTCAATTCTGGCTCTCAATATAATTATTACAGAAGTTACAAGATTTATTGGCAATATTTATATTAATATAATCCGCCACGCTGTTATTTTTGATGCCTTATAATTTGAAGCAAAATCTTTAAAATTTGATTTATAGTTTTCAGTGCAATTATAAAAAAATAAAAACTTTTAATTGCAATCTCAATAAGAATATAATTCGCCATTCTATGGTTTCGTATCACTTTTAAATTTCGTTTCAGAACATTTGTTAAGATTTTGAATACAGCTCTATTATTTGAATTATGTGATCTTTGCCAAGTTTTTTCTACAAGTCATTTTTACTAATTAGTATTTTAATTTTAATTGAGAAACTAAATACTATGATATAATAATAATCATATCTTCCGATTTCAATCCGACTTTAAGGGCTAACATTGCATTGCTATTGGTATCCTTTAGCTTTAGAACATTAGTGTTTAATTTTATATAGTTCAATAATATTTTGAATAGTATATGCTTTGAATCTATGTAAAAGTTTAATGTATTTTCCATATATTTTGATTTTAATCCGAGTCCCCATTTTTTTCATTGAAAAGTTACCAGATATTATTTTATGCTGATTACTTTAAAGCTCACTAGGTCTATAATAAGAGTATGATCTGACAATTCTAAGCAAATAAGAATTTTTTTTCTAAAATGCATGATTCAGCTAAAAATTATTTTTCTGTTCGTAACAAAAATTATGCACATGCACATTATTTAATAATTATTTCTCAAATATGTTGAATTTTAAATTTTATGTAAGTATTTTTTCCACAAAGTATAATCATAATGCAAGCAGCTTCTGCCTATTACATTTCATTTCCTATTATATTGATTGGAATTCTACTTTAATGTATATCAAATTTGATATATAGTAAAGTTAACTATATATCAAAGCTGTAAGGATAATTGAATCATTTGAATTGCGGGTTCTTACTCACTTTTTTTAAATATAGAACCATCAAATTATCTCAACATTTTGGTTTTAAGAGCGCAATAAAACAATAAGTGCACGACACACCTCAAAGATATATTGACCTTGTTTTTATTATGTAAATGTATTAACTCTATGTTTTTAGATCATTCCTTATATTTTTATGAGTGCTAGCATATTTTTTTTATATTATAAATTTATTTATATTAGAAATTATAAATATTATACATATATCAAAACTATAAATAAACCACAACTGTGATTTCTATGAATCATAAAACAACAAAACTATTAATCATACACAGTGACTCAAATCGCATATAATTCAGCATATTTGGAATTGATAAGATTATTAATCAAAATTATTAATCCACGAAATGATTGATTACTCACGTATGAAAGATGGACATTGAGGTAATAACGTTATCATTATTGATGCAGATGGTGTTTATTGAATATTCATATAATAAAATTATATAGTTGATATCCTTTGCACACAATCACTGATATTTGGTTCTAGGGTTTCGTCTTAATTTATTTTTGTGTGAATCTATTGCTTAATTACCAAAAGCATTAATATAATTAATATTTTTTTATTTATTAGCTTCCTGTGATGTCTTTCTAATACAGAGTGCGCCATTTATATATGGTCAATGGAAATGTTAAATAACTTGAATAATTTTCATTGAATTTTGATAACCCTTTTTTTATTATCAAGTTCAAAACCTTACATTTTTTTCCACTAGTTCGAAAAAGCCTTTACTGCAGCCAATCAGTTGAAATTTGTCAAAGTTATTCAATGGTTCCATTGAACCCATATTAATGGCGCATCCTTTAACTTATTGGCTTTGTAGAAGGATATTCATTGACCTATCTCTATTTTTATTAATTTATTTTTAGAATAACTTTAACACTGATGTCTTTTTCATTAGTTGCAGCAATGTAGAGTAAGGACTATTTACACTTAAAAACATGACTATTTATGTTTTCAAGTGAAAACCGATGTCACTTCAGCTTGAAATTAAGCTGCGCCAAGAGGGTATCAGGTACTAAATCAGGTACTACTGATTGGAAACCCGAGCTCTAACCACTGATCAACGAGGCAATCAACTTCAATTATTAATAACAATTATTTTGTTTATTAAGTATCATAGTTATTTTTTAGTGTGATTCAATTCAATTGTGAATCAATATCAATATATAGTTCATTTACCTTCGAAACAAACAACAATCTATTTTCGGTCCTGTGAGCAGCTACAAGTCATAAAATATCCACGTACAATTTCTCTTACTGTTGATGTTCAAGCATTATATTACAGCATAAAACAATAATGTCCTATTTTTGTATCACTTATAACATTTGGTCGTTATTCAACTCAACAGAGCGACACGAGGCTTCATATGTCACAGAACAGGAAATAACGAAGATAAACACTTTTCCGTTACTAGAGAGATCATTAAATGTGTCCCTGGGCGCAAAAGAATTTCGGAAACTTAGTTATATGAATCTTTCCTTTTAATAATATTGTCGGGAAAGTCGCGCACATTCGCGTACATTCACTTCTCACTGATGTTGTGTTTATACGTGCAGTTCGTTATATTAGCAATAGGAAGAGCTCGAGTGGAAATTTTACTCAAAGGAGGAAATAAATCAATAATTGAAATCGGTTGCACCGTGTTTCCGAAATCGTAGACGAAAATTTGTATCCGCAACACACACACATAAACATGCATCCATTTTTTTTTAAGATATGTCAAAATGTTCAGAAACCCTGAAAAGTAAAGATATAAATCTAAACGTAAATTAAAGATAAAATCTATTAACAGCATCAGATTTTAGACTTAATAAGGAAAAGCCAATGTATTAACGTGAAAGCAATGTTTTGGCTTTTGGTATTATACATATATGAATTTTGGAAAACTAAGAAGCCAATACTCGAATAAATTACCTGAGTTATGTTGACGGACTCGCATGTTA